CGTAGCACCGAGCTAATTCACTACGAGAGATTTGGAAGACTGGGGAACCATCGTGGCATGAGGGCTTGGGAAAGACCAGCGACTACTAGTCACGTTCGATTACATAATAACCTTACAAAGCAAAGAACTAATACTATACTACGACTCACCTCTGTTAACATTTTGAAGAACTTCGGCAATAAGTCTTCAGGTAAGGTCCGTAGCTGGAAATCGATTGCCGATACGGACATCTTTTTCAAACAAGAGAACACTTCAAAAAGTTCTTCTACTGTTTCAGCACTGAAAAAGAGTTAATCACAAGATAATGCCAATAACAGTGACAGTACGCAATAAAAAAAGAATATAAAATACTCACGCCCTCAATGACGCGCTAAATGAACTTTCAAGCTCCAGCAAACTTCTTTTAGCTTGTAACGTTTTTCTTGTTTCTTGTTCATCTTCCTCTGGAACTTCAAACTCGAATCCTTCAAGGGTAGGAGCCGCCGTTAAGAAGAAAGGCGCCTGAAGAGAAGTTTAGCTAGTTAGACCAGGAAGATATTAATCCAACGATTCGCAACACCAACCTGTTTTGGCTTCCTTGCGGGTTGATCAGGTTTGTTCCTTTCTTTGATTAAAGCAAGGTCGGGAAGATTTGCCCATCTAGATGGTGCCAAACCCGAATATGTCACAAGCGAGGGATCGAGCTGAAACCTCGTCTGTGTATGCTCATCCTATAATGGTACTTTCACAATTTCTAAGATGTGGGAATAAAATATTTAGGAATTCTTCAACAAATGGTTACCGAATCGGTTTCCTCGTCATCACTCTCGTCGTCAATTACAAATGTTTTAACACCCATTTCTGCCACGCATGAATCCGCCCACGTAGGTACGTAATCCAAGGGAAGAGCTCGTATGTTCACATGTGTTGCGTACATATTCTTGTTCACCCAAACAAAGATCGCTTTTTCACCCTGGAAAAAATGAAAATAATGAGAGGCATTATAGAAAAAAACTCTAGTTTGGCGGCCTAACGATAGGTCTTTTTTCCTAAAAAAGACTTCACAGAAAAGTGCTGGTATCCTTAACCTTAATTGGCATAAGAGCATATACCAATGGTGGTTAAGGAAAACAGCATAAAGGGTGAACATTGAGATACGCCACGCCTTCCCCTTCCATCCAGTGCTGTAATTCTAATTGAATCAGTTTTTCCTACACTAAAGTCCACGGAGCCAAGCATCGTTCAAATCAGTGTTTTTATCTCACCCTATGAGCCCGAATACCAGCTGCATACTTCAGGAGTTATCCGATAGTTGGGGTAGGCGTGGCACCGGAAGTGACGTGCACTTGATAGAAGTTGCGTGGATAAGCTGCTTCCAAGCATACATCGCTGGATATCAGCAAAGCATGCTGGCAACAGCTTATCCACGCAACTTCTATCAAGTGCACGTCACTTCCGGTGCCACACCTACCCCAACTCGGATATCGACTGTAGGACAATAGAATTAGTTTGCGCTGGCGCGAATTTTAGTCCAAAAAATTCAAATACCGGATCGCGGTTGTGATATTTTCGATTGTGATGCGTATTTTTTCACTACCCCAAATGGAACTATTAAAAAGATGAGGAAAAACAGTCTCCACAAGTGTAAATATCGAAACATATTACTTGGCCACAGTCAATACCACCGGAAGAACCTATGGCTTCACGCTCAAAATTCTTCGCTATGATTGTGTCTTAAACCCCTTTACCCACCCATGCAAGGGTGGGCCAGCACTGATATATTTTTGTGTTGTTCGTGCTAAGAAAAATGAATTCTTGTCAAAAACAAAAATGAAGAACGTGAGCAAGAAACCTACCTTGTGAACAGTAGCCAGATATTCACCAGAACTGTTGAAGGACATGCTAATACATGGCTTGTCGAACAGCATCACATCTATGAGTTGCGAGGTCGACAGCTCCCAGACCTTAAACTTGTTTGAATAGCATTTGAAAAAAGTGCCACATAAAAACAAGGCCGACTAATATACCGGTCATATCTTGTTACAGTAAATCAGCGGACATTGTGAAGCTGAGAGAAGGCTGTGCGATACGAGGGTAGTGGATAAAGGATCTATCGAGACTATTCCAAGGTAGAATCTTTCGCCACAGATAAGCATTCTTTTGACAGACTAAACTAAACTAAACCGGCATGTGCTAAAACTAAATAAGACACTGATCGTCAGTTAATCGTGTCCAAATCGCACCTCGGAACTGGTAGTATTAATTCATCCAATCTTCTGTATACCATTGGCGGCAGAAATTTGGAAGAGTTTGGATAAAACATTCCTTCTAGAGAAAATGGAAGACCACTATTGAACTAATTTAAATTTCTTAAATTCAATGAGGTAGTGGTCTTCCATGGATAAGATTACATCACTACATGTATCGTACCCTGATATATTTCTTGTCGTCCGCTGTAAGAAGCCACCGCCCATCACTTGAGAACGTCAACGCATTCACAGAATGACCAACAGAAAGGAAGGTGCGCACGACACGCCGACACAATGTATCCACAACAGCTACTGAAGCACCTGAAAAGAAAAACGTAACCGACAGATACGACATGATACTATCAGTAATATACATTTTCTTTCCTAGTAGGAACTAATGCAACAGCGAAAGTGAAAGAAGTACTCTGAAAGGATTCAAAATGGACCGAACTGGGAAAGCCACTCACCTTCATCTCCTGCACAGGCAATAGCCAGTAAACTATTCGATGTGCACGGCGCCGACCGCTCTATCCGTAATCGGGTACGCATTGTCGCTAAGAGTTGACCACTTCGCACTTGCCAGAACTTCAAGCTACCCTTGGAGCAACCGGTAATCAGCTCAGAACCACGAGAATTGACTGTCAGAGCTGTTATCCTTGACTCATGCGCTTTCTCTAACTGAAATGAGTAACTGTAGGCTCCTTGGAGAACAGACAGGCTTCACTCCTACGAACCACTGATGGTATGAAGAAAAACGAAAAAATCAAAGACTGAGGGAACCAGAAATAATTGCCAAACCTTAGCTTTCCTCTGATTTATAAGTTTCATCTTTTTCCTCTATTTTGAGCACCTTTTTGTGAACGTCTTTATGAAAGTCCGGCCTTTATGAACATGAATTGATCAAACAGACCTGAGAAAGAAGCAACAGCACAATCAATTAGGAGATCACCTTGCCCTCCTAACAACTCAAACCCAATAGCTTACCAGTGGAATAAACCAATAAAAAGCAGGAAGTTTCGCATGGGTGACTAGCAGCAATTGCCTGTTGGACAGTAGCACAAGATAAAGCAGCATCCTTCAGAAATCTTTCATGGACCAGCTGAAGGAAAAGTTAGCTTGACCTCTACTCAACGAAAAACGGTATGGATACTCAACGAAACTCACTTTATGCGTTCCCTGTGCGTTTTTCCTAGTTGTCCATGTTGTTACCAGTAAAGTGTCTCTGAAATGAAAAGTTAAGTTCCATAATGTTAACGCAAAAGGGAACGAAAGCGCGTAAATAACAATGTCACGAGCTCTTTTTAGCACAGACAAATGAAAGTGCATAGAAGAATCATCAGAACAAATAGTGGTTTTGCTACAAAATGAACTGCCATAAGTGAAACGGACACCTACTCAACAAGATGTTACATTATTTGGCTCTCACTAAAAGGCACGTAGGCGCTATCGCAAGATACGGGGACGCAGTGCCTTCTAAACCACACAAAACATCTTCTCTTCGTTGAAAACGGGAACAAACCTCGCGGATAGGAGCGAATCCAGAGTGCTTCAGCAATTTTCATTTTCCCCAAAGTGTCTGCACCTTCCTAGTCCCAGAGGATGCGCCCGTATCTTGCGATAGCGCCGATACGTGAGTTTTTGAGCGCTAGAAAAGCTCTATGATCTACCCTCTTCCTTGAATTACTTACTTATGTCTACACAACACATTGTCCCACGCCGCCTCTCGACTCCATCCAATCGCCATATCGACCACAGGTTCCATTCGAATACTTTCTATAGAAATATGCTTCTTTTTCGCAAGAGCTCTGAATATAAAAGAATATTTTGAGAAAAAAGAAACCTTGAACTGATGTTGGGGTATTATATATTAGGTGACACAGTACCTGGACATTGTACCCGCACTGCCAAGTTTTTGCCGCATAGTGTCTACATTTACCATGTATTTCCGAACTGAACCATCCAGTCCAGATGACAGAATCTAAACTTGTAGAAATTATCGTGTTTGCAAAGGAAGCCATAGCAGCATATTCGACAATGTACTAATCCTGACTGGTAGAAGACCACTACTGATTCCCTAATAGCTCTCTCGCTCGATATTACATCGCTAAAGAGTGCGAGCGAAAAAACGGCTCAGGATAACGTCTCGAAAAATTCCTAATCCATCAATCCATCTCTTCCCACCCCCCCCCTCCCCCACAAAAAAAAAGCTAGAAAGTCGGAAGGTATTCATTCATGGATTCCTTGGGAAGGATTGGAGGATCCAAAAAGCCTCAACGATTCCATTCAAACCGAGCTGGCAACAAGGCCTACGAAAATGAATGAACACGACACTTCTTCCACTGGCGCATGCCCTCGGCGGAACTATCCGACATCCTTGTTGGAGCGTTCCAGTACCCTTATCAGTGCATAGTAAACAGTGAACCGTAAGGAGAGTTCAATGAGAGTGTATGGGGGGCGGGGCGTGGGGCTCAGGAACGTTATGCTTTCAGAGGCCACTTCAAACTGTGAAAACCGGTCTGTAGTATGAAGATGAACTCTCCCCTGAATACCTATCGTTTTATCGCAATACA